CGTTTCCATGCGTTTAACGTCTGCTTCGAGGAAATGGAAAATTCTTGTCAATTTTTAATCTTTCCATTTGTACCCTCTTACTTCTTTAAATAATGACCCGCTTATGACTATACTTATTGTACTTATTGTAATATTTTATTTGAGTTGTTGAGCTCAGATATTTGAAAATGCAATCGGGTAATTCTCACGAGTATCTTATAGTCAATAAAGTCGCAAGGATCTTATTCAATCATTAAATTAAGAATTGTGATGCATCAGAAAATTAAAAAACCGTGAATTCTTTTCAGGGGTACTGCTCGTTAATATTTTTTTATGATTATCACCATTATTTTTATACCTTTTATCATATTTTAAGCAATGCGTCTTTAAGTCGTCTTCAGATGTATACTGTATGATTCTAACTTTGAAGAAATTTTGATCAGAACCATTTTCTTGGGGATTTGAACTCCTTCTAGTAATTTATCCTCCTCATGCTGCAGAGTTCCTCAAGTGAGCAAGTGTGTTCTTGCACTGTCTGAACCAGGAATTTAATGTAGCATTCGGAGACAGCTAGAGATAAAAGCAACAAAGATTAAACCGCTAGCGAAAAAAAAAAGACATCATTTGTATATTAGCAAATGTAATCGGCAGGGTCGAGGACGATGACATAGATTTAGTGCAACCAAACCCCAAAGACCCTCAACGGTGGAACTAACAGATTAAAACAGATCTCAGCGGTTGACCCACTGGATGAAGAGAGCCTACGCATGCCTACGGATATGCTACAGAAGCCGCCACACAAAATTATAAGTCAGCGATAGTCCTTTGCAATTTTTATAACTGGATTCTTCATGTCTCATTCTATAATTACCGGAGAAGAAAATCATGAAATCAAGAGTGTGGGTCATTTCCTGGCAAGTTGAGGTCCACCTTAAACAAATTCACACCATCGGCATTTTCTTGTATTCTTTCACATCCAACCAATGCTTGCAAAGTCAAACGGCGATAGGGAATGGATGACGGGGACATCTTCTGGTGAAACAGGATCCTTTTAGTCCTGAACCTGCACTACTTTGACGCCAAATTTATTCATCAACGCCATCATTCCTCAACATAAGCTTGTCTCCTGACCATTAGTTTTGAGTTGAATTCTCAATGCTTCTCCATTACGTATGGCCGTGTGACAAAACTAAGCTTTCTTCTTCTATGTCTCGTGTCCTTTCAGAACATGGACGATCATTGCTCTCCACAATTTCCTATCTTTTGTAACTCTTAATAAAGTTTGTCTATTTCTCCTAATATCTATTATGCCAACCTTTTACACGAGTTCGTTAGGTAGGTTATACAATGCTTTCCTCTGTTCCTCTTCCTTTCATGTGAGTGTCAGATTTTCCAAGTCCTCTTTCCTCATTATGTGCCTACAAATTTCAACTGTCTCTTTCTGATGCTATGTATAATTGTCCTTTTTGTTTCCATTTTCTCTAAAAATTCGTCGTGTTCAATCTATGGTATTTGATGTGGTGTAGCTAGCATCCCTTCAGCACTCTACTAGATGGCCTGACTCATAGCCTTAAATAGTCTACGATTAAGGACCATCAGTTGATTAATAAGTTAACACTAAGCTGAAAAATAGCCGGACTGATCTTCCTTCGTTTGCCTATTGTTATAGCATAATACCTATTCTATTGTAATAGACTCTCCCACAGATAATACGTAATAGTAGCAGTGGCCAGTTGGGCTCAGTGGTGTTGAGTGAGTCAGTCGATGTCGGACATTGAAGCATGAACCATCACAACTAGATCGCTGCGTCATTAACTCTTATTTCAAGTTCCTAACGTTTTGTACGTCGAACCTAATTTAGGACGACTTAGGGAAATACAAGCCTCCACTGTGAAAACTACTCTACAACACCTATACAGCATTTGATCCTCCTATATTCCTTGTAAGTTGTCTTGTTAATTGTTTTGTAACTTATTGTTCTGTGCTTTTCCTACGTATCCGTTAGCACCGGATACTGATGTTGAATAAATATATTAAGCACCCATTCTTCTCTGTGTGTCATTCACCTCGAAAATACCACAGTATTTTAGGCATCATTCTGTAGAACCATATTTCTGTTGCCTATAATTGCTTCTTCATCTGCAATGAGATTGTCCAGCAGTCACTGCCATATAAGAGGACTGATATTGCATAGCAGTTCAGTACTATTTCCTTTGTTTCTAACGAAATTTTCTTGTTTCTTAATACTTTGCGTGGCTTTTGGAAGGCATCTTTGTGCTATCCCATCGCGTCTTCAGATTTCGATGTCTGTTAAATCCATCCTAGATATTTAAATTTTTGAAGTTGCTGGATTTTTATAGCTCCAATTCATAATTCGCATTCTGGGCTCTTCCTGTTGCTGACAACTATACATGATGTTTAGTCTTTTCTTCTCGCGTTACTTTACTACTTTCTGTAGGAGTTCCTGTAGTTTAATTTCTGTGTCTGTTATCAACACTATGTCATCTGTATATTTAATGTTTTTAAAATTGTGAATGCCAATTATGTATCCTAATAGGACTTGTATAAGTCTGGTGAGAAGATAAATCATTGTCTTACGTCCCTTTCTTTTTTTTATATTTACTGACTTCCTTTTCTATCCGCATGCAAGCAGTGTTCTCCCAGTATAAATTCTGGTCTATTTTAATATCCTTCCCAAATATATCAAGCTTACCGAGCATGTTATGTACTTTATCAAACGATTTGGCATAATCTATAAAACATAGGTGTACATGTGTTCAAAATCAAATATCGATCGGAATACCACAGGATGATAAGATAAAGAACAAATAGGAAATGTTTATCAATCTCACATGTTTTACTTTTATTAAAGTTTCGTCAGAGATTGAGAGAAAACAAACAAAAGGACAGAACTTTGGTATGTTTAATTTTGTTTGGGTCAATTCTCATCGGCCAGTCATATATTACTGCAGATAATTCTATATGTATGAAAATTAGTAAAAATTCTAATATGTCTAAGCAAGCATCAAATGGTAATGTGTGTTCGTAATCGTGTATGTGCTTCTGTCTAGTAGAAGGATTTCTAATTTCTTCACCTTTGTGCGATTAGTCGGCGCAATTGTGTGACATTCCACTTAATCTGGAACTGTTTTTATACGTACTCTTTGTATTAGATAGATATAAGTTAGATTCTTTGAGAATGAATTCAAAGAAGGATGGCAATGTAATCTAATGTTTTAGGCGTGTGTTTATAGTCGGTAATAATGTTATTATTAAGGTTTCAAAGTATTTTCTTCTTAAAAGAATTATGTTCTTTTTTTAATTAAAGTGGCATTAGTGAAATCAGAGTTAAGTCCAGCATCGTTCAGGTGCAACACGAGAGAGTTAGATCGTTTTTCCAAACACAAATCTCTCTTGTGTTCGTAGATGCGAGTTTTTAGCTCACGTGATGTCTCCCCCACATAAAATGTTTTGCATTGTAAAGGATTTATTTGATAAATCCTGGCATTCGAATTTGTGTTGGGTTTAATTTTCTTCCTAATTATATCTCCGATTGTATACATACATTTGCATATGTATTGCTTTTTTTGTGATATCATTCTGATCCTAAATATCACATTCCTTGATTCTAGTTTCTTTAGTAAATAGCATATGTCTATTTTTTGTTATTTTTATTATGATTTTATTCTTATTGAAGCTGATACTACGAGTATAGTGACGCTCTGTTTTTCCAAATTACCGACACTAACTTGAAAATGTTTTCTATTGTTAAAAAGGTTTTCATGCAGTTACTGAATGTAGATATATAAAAAATAATACTCCATAAAATGCAAATATGTCAGTTTTGACATCCATACTATAAAAGTTTGAATTTGCTTCTTCAATCAGAACTTAATTTGTCATCATTTCCCAATATTTGCTACCGCTCAAAAATGCCTTCTTTCATTTCTGTTAACAGATTAAAATCACCCCAAAATGATCTTTAATGGTAATTTCATTTAACAGCATTTTTTCAGTTCAACTGAAAAAGTACTGAATTATTTTTCGAATAAATTTTCTAAATGGCCTATTTTATTTTTTTAAATATTTTTTTTAAATTACGGTACTTTAAAATTTAATTTCCTTAAGCAATATGGCGTCACTGATTTAAATACCGATAAAAGCGGAAACATTGACTTTTAAAACTGGAATTATGAAACTGAGTCTAGCATCCGTAAAATATATTTCAGATAATTTCTTTTTTTCAATGAAGATTTTAACAGAATAGAAATGTATTTTAAATTGTTTAAATCGTGTTTTCTAAAAGCAGGGTTATCATTCAGTTTCATGTACTTTGAGCAGATAAAGTTTGTAACATTTTGAACTGTCCGCTATTTGCTGCATCTAAAAAAAAAAAAAAAAAAAAAAAAAAAAAAAAGATGGCGACATTACAGTGTTTAAAAGCAAAAGGCCAACATTTTACTCTGTACAGCTGTCTAATTTTCACATCATGAAATATGCTTTCAAAGCAAACATTAACCCCGACAACGCGTTAGAAATTTATTGATATTTACTCAGATTTACTTTAATGTGGCGTGAAGAGAAAGACTGGCAAGTAAATGAAATGAGTCATTGAGTTAATAAATAATTAATTTATTTCATTTTTACTCAGAAGCTGAAAAGTATTTGACACTGTCATTTTAGCTGAAGTATCTGTGCTCATTCAGGACTAGGGAGCAGATTGTTGCATCCAACGGCAGCAACATAGTGAAAGCAGGCATCAGTATTTAACCAGCTGAACAAATAATCCCACGTTGCGTCTCTATCCTCGCTCGCATCGGTGGGTATAAAAACTGGGAAAGGTTCGCTGTACGTTCACAGGGGAAACGAAAGGTGACATTAACGCCACGATGAGAAATGAAGACTCGAATCCTGCTTCCTGGTTTTTTATTCAGGGATTCACTTGCACCATCTGTGGTGTAGGTAATTAATACTTGAGACAACTTCTGCGGTTTCTGTCATGATAGCTTACAACCTCATGACGTTGAAACACTGGCTCCCGTGCGATCACCAGAGTTAAGCAACGTAGAGCTTGTTCATTACCTAGATGTGTGACCGCTTATGAATACCAGGTGCTGTAATTTTGGATGTATGGGTGGTGTAATGAATAATGGCTCGGAATTGTAAATCGGCGAGCCGAGTTCCAATTTGGGTTCGTTATATTCATTTACGCGCAAATACCCGTAGGAAAGGTATTAATCCATCTCTTTTTCCTTCATCCTCCCAGCTATGGGTTAATTAGTAAAACTTGTATCACTAAACCATTATTATCTCAAATGCAATCATACAATCTAAAAATATTTTCTGGTTTTAAATAACCCGCAAAGGATTGATAAGCCGTAGATAACTTATCAAAAATTCAATGAAATACTGATTAGCTACACAGGCATGTCTTTTAGATTTATTTATATTCTCTTGACTACAAATATATAGAAATTACCGCTGTCACAAAGTGAGGGATCGGTTTATATATTGCTTGTAATATAGAATTGATTCCTCAATTTATATTGACATTATAATTTCTTGTTTGTTTATCAAAATCTATTTTTGTATGAATCCAGCTTTTCTCCTCCAGCTATGAGTTAATTTGTAAGACTTGTATCACTAGACCATTCTCCAAAAAAGGAAAACTCTTACAATTTAAAATTGATTTCTGGCTTTAAATAACCTGCAAAGGGATATTAGTCGTAGAAAATGAATCACTCACTCAATCTGTTATGACAGCTTAATCAACGTGAACTCGGACTCTCTCCTACCACCTAACTTTCCATATCTACATCACGTCACGCAGCTTCGGTATACTTTCCCGACGAACAGTCTGTTCCCACACTGGCAATTGGCAACCCGAATCTATTTCTCTATTTCTATTTAAATAACCCTGCCAACTGAAATTTCCAATATTTATACAAGTGTCACTTGTTACCAGATTTTTCATTTATTTATCTGTCATTTTGTTCCCTTTTGTTCAAGTGAGTGGCTTGTTTTAACATTCTTCATAATCACAAAACTAACCTGGCCGCTGATCTCGAAAAGGACCCCCAATCTGTGGTTGACTGGGACAGGAAATGGCTTCTAAACTTTAATGCCTCCAAAACGAAATTGCTCTTCTTTACCACAGAGAACCCTCCCTGCCTCCCATCAGAATGGCTGATGCACAACTCACCGAAAGCGCCTCGTTACGCCTGCTTGATCTCACGCTGTCCGCTGGCATGAGGTGGAACAATTACATTGAATCAATAGCTTCATCTACCGCAAGGAAAGCTGATTCTCTGTGTCGTACCAGAAAGTCCTTGCATAGAATATTGCTGTCATATATGTTCCGATGCCCCCGCTGTACGTCACAAGGTCCTCGACAAAATCCAGAGACGAATATGCAATGCGATAGGTCCTGATTTGGCATCTCGTCTACAGTCGCTATCGCACAGACGTGCTGTGGCTTCCCTCTGTCTCTTCTACAAGTATTTTCACGGCAACTGTTCCGACGAGCTATTTTCGCTGGTTCCCAGACTGCATGAATTTAAGCGAGCTACTAGGCTGGCATCTCGGTCCCACTGTCGAAACGGTTAAATGTAGCCGTCTTTTCTACTCAAACAGTTTCTTCTCACACACTTCCCGGCTGTTGAACTCTCTTCCTCTTGCTTGCTTCCCTGATAACCATAATCTTCAAATATTCAAGTGTAATGTCAATCGACATCTTCTGATACCTTGATCTTGTTCCTCGTCATTCCCTGTATCCTTTCCTCAAACACGCCTCTTTACTCTTGTTCTCAATCCCCTGTAACCCCTTGCGTGCTAGTGGCAATCGCGCCTTGTTAGGTGGGTGAATTGCTTAAAAACACACACGCACAACATACTCTGGACTCAAAGGAAATAATTTAGAGTCCACTTGACTATGTGTGTGTTCTAATCCAGTCGGAGGGGAGGGCGCTTATCATGTCACAGTGATGTAATACTCCTGTCACAGTCTCTTCGACCGAGTGATACAGAGTTCATTTTGCTTTTACTCTGAAAATATAAATCTCATCCTTGCAGGTTCAGAATTTATCGATTTATAAACAATTAATTAGACACACAACATATGCCAACGTTGTATTTCTTTTGTCGAATTCATTGTTTAGTTTATGCAATAAATTTCAAACAGTTGTTTTTTTATTTTTACTTATAAAGTTTTACCAAAATTCTTCGTAAAATTCCTTTCCCGTGCTTATTGCTAGGTATCCCAGATTAATATTTAGCGTAACGACAAATATATTAACTTTGTCAGAAATTGGAACAAACTTTCTAGTTTCCAAAAGTTCTAAATTTTATGGGAAAACGAAATTGCAGATACGATAAAAGAAAACGATAAACCTTTTTTTTTATATATCAACAATCAAACAATAAATCGTATACAAATGGGTATATTCAAAACTGTATCAGCTATGGGTAAATAGCAGAACAGGCTGGGTTCTATAGCCTTGGATTGCAACTGGTCTACCGCAGAAAGAAATGCCAACCTACTATGGGGAAAAATCTGAATCGTCAGTTATCTATCGAAAGATAAATGATCGCCTAAGCGTGTATCACGAATGTCACATAACTGATTGACGTAGTCTAATTCTTATTTTTAGTTCTTCTCAGTTATTGCTCACTTCGTTTCCACTGAAATACACATTGCCGGCCCATACTTTTTTTTGTTTTTGATTTTATGATATATATATTATATATATTAAAAACTAGGCTGACAGTCACGTGGTTTTTAATTAATATTGAAGCCCCATCATTTCTTAATGCATTGAGCACCTTTATGCCGTTAGGCTACTTTTGGGCAGACTCTTTCAGATCTGCTCATTCTTTCCTGGATACATACATACATACATACATATACACACACACACACACACACACACATATATATATATATATATATATATATATATATATATATATATATATATATATAGTATAGTATAAAATGGACAAAGTCCGACAATTATTTGAAGAGATATTTTTCATGTTTATACGTTCTTTTTATAGATACAAATATTTAAGTAAATTCTCTGTTTATAATAAAGAGTATTAACAACATTTACCGGCCTGAATGTCCGATAAATTTCCCTCGGAGGACGTATATTTTCTATGAAAATTTCTCGGACATTCAGGCCGGTGAATGTTATTAATACTGTTTATTATAAACAGGGGCATTTACTTAAATATTTGTATCTTTAAAAAGAACGTATAAACATAAAAAAATTCTTAAAATATGTAGTATACTTAATATTATTTTTAAATTTATTTAAATATGATTTTATATGTTTATTGTTATTTTAGTGTTTGACATCTTTAATATTCTAAAGGCTGATGTAAACTGGAGTAAAACGACCCAACGCGAGTTTTATTTTTCCAGATAAAATTTAGGAAAAACCGACGTATCTTCGAAAATGACTTAACTCGAAACGACTTAAGCCGAGGTATCACTACTTATGAAAATTTTTAGAAAATATAATTTATGATTAACACTTTTATGTTCGGCTTTATGTTAACTGAAAAGGAACTATAAGTATGCATGTGTGTAAAGAAGCATATGCTGAAAAGAAAGACGTTTTTTCATACGTTAAGACGGATAGAGAGGAAGACAGTCAAATAACTGCAGGTAACTTTGATGCCTATATCTAAAGCTTTGTGAATAGCAGATCCCAAATGATTTTAAAAATTAAATAGAACTATCTGACTGGTTAGTCATTCCCTCTGAATGAAAGCTTGATGTGTTCTCTACTACGTCCGCTGACATGAAACTGACCCAATTCTCTTTTTCGTCTAGAAACAAAGTGTTAGCGTTATATCTATTTTTAGAACTTCTTGGTTCCTAGTTGATGTCTCCGACTATTCGTTAACTATTGAGTGAAATATGCGTGTCTATTGACCAATCTATGTTCAACTATCTGTTAATCTTTCAATGGCTTCCAAATGACAACCAGGGCAACACATCTCTCTCTAGAATTTACTGGTAAATTCTGCTATTCACTTTAACATATTTTTCAATGAACACCAAAGGAGATTTTGAAACAACATAAGCAGCAGCATTTCAAACCATGAAACCGATTCTTTGTGTTCTGACATCTTCGGAAATGTTTCCTGGAGAAGTGGTTTAGACCCTATCATTTTGGTAGTTGGCCATCGTCTCGACATTGAAAATTTTTTCTTCCGATCAAACGATTATTTTGTCTGAGGCACGGTGCATCTCCTCCAAAATTTTCTTCCCCCGACCAAGCGGTTTTTGCCCGGATGCCACCGTTGAACCTTATATGATTTTAACCCTAAATCCTTATTCACAATACTCTTTAGTGACCTTTTTTTTTTGCCATCTTCCTCATGCTTCTTTGAGAATTTCTTTTCGCCCACTTCTTGACAGATTCAGTGACTCCCCTGGTAAGAAATGAACGTTTCCTTCCTGGAATTGGTTTTGATGAGGTTGTTTGCTCCTCTTGAAACGCATTATAAACGCAATTTTTCTGAAAACATTCCACTATTTTATAACCTTACAATTTTTCATACCAGCTATTTTGAATGCGACAATTTGATCATATTTTGTTTGACCCGCCAAATTTAATTAAACTCTAAACAAAAGAATGTTAAAAAGCCTTATGCGAAATTTGAAACTAGTTTTACAAATAAGAATGTTTCAATTTATGTTTAAATAATAGATAAATATTTATGCAGCAACCAATAAAAGTAATGAATCTAATATCGTTAAAAGCTTGGGATATTAATGAATATTATTAGAAAGTGTAATTTTTCTTCCGAAACAAATGAGTCAAATAGCTCTGTCGTGAAGTTGCAAACTTAACCAAATCAATTTGGAAGCCAACATTATTAGACGTGAATTCTTCCCGATCTTGAAAATGCAGACATTTTATAGAATTAAGTTTGGAGCTTAATGTGATTTCCGTCTCTATTATTTGATGAAAGGAGTCACGATTTTCGCCCTGTCTGAACTCGAAATATCCGCGCGAAGTGGAAACCTGTCTTCATGGAAATTAGATTAGGTAATTAGGATTTGAACCAAAGGAAAGTGTTTTTTATGCCAAATTTTCTGGCTTGACCTCGATGCACAGACTATAGTCTTAACATACAGGATGTCCCCCAAAAATTGACATAATTTAAAATGTGAATATCTGAATAACTACATGTCCCTGGCAAACGAAATTAAACATGTCTCATTTTGATAAATAGAATTTAATGTCTGAATACCAGCAACATCAATGACATTGGAATGCTTGATCCAGTTGACATGATAAGCATTAAAATTCAGGAGAGAATCTAGAGGTTGTAAAATGTTTTGATGAAATTAAATTTAAAAATACGTTGACTTTTCAATATTTTTGGTCATTTTTAAAGATTGAAACTTCCAGCAATACAAGCTACATACTGTCTATTTATAATATCTATTCAGTATTCTTTCCTGAAAACGAACAACGATGATCAAACTGTTTGGCGTTTAACATCCAATTCCGGGATACTCTTTTTATAATTTCCACCTGAGATAAAGCAATTCAACACTAGGAGAAGCTAACCAAATGCCTCAATATACTCTATGTTCTATTTAATGTAGCATTTTTTGGTATATATATATATATATATATATATATATATATATATATATATATATATATATGCATGCTGACAGGAACACACCAAAATAGAAACAGATCCAAGAGCACATAGGGGTCACTAAAACATTAAAAGATAAAATGCCGATAACTACTCGCTGGACAAACCTTAATTGTTTTATGACCCTTCGCGCAGAACTCTTCATTGACAATTCTAGAAAGAAAATTCGGATTACCAACACACAAACAGAGAATGTCTCATATCGAGAATATTTCAAATTGAACATGAAGAAAAAATTAATTATTTTTAATAATATGTAGAAATTCCACTTTTACCTGAAGACGGTTTGCGAGACCAGAAACACGTGTCGTAAAATTATGTAAAACAAAGCATAATATTTTTTTCTAAATAAATCCATATTACAACCAAAAACGTTTGCGGCACCTCTCTTCTTTTTAATATACATACTTTTTTTCTCGTTGGAACCACTACAACATATTTCTTTTATATATATATATATATATGTAGCATTTTGGTATATATATATATATATATATATATATATATATATATATATACACAGAGATAGATAGATAGATAGATAGATAGATAGATAGATAGATAGATAGTCCCCCAAAAAATTGACATCATGTAGATATCTGAGTAACTACATGTCTCAGGAAAACGAAATTTTCATGTTGAATGCTAAAATGTTTATCAAAATTAAAAGAAGATATTCAAAGGGATATAGATTTTATAACCTATTTCACTAAGCTTCACAAATGTTCATTATAAGCACCACCTGTGACACTACATACGTCAAGTCAGTAATCCATCACCTGCTAAACACGCTGTAGCATGTCTTGTGTAACATATCCCAGCGCCTCAGTGCTTCTCTGCTTAATCTCCTCTAGGCTTGTAGAAAGAGGGGAATACAGACCTGTCCTTTTACATGGCACCTTAAGAAAATCACAAGGCGTCAAGTCATGTGAATGTGGGGGCCATTTCAACAGCACATTGTCATTATCACTGGCAGGTCCGACCCACATTTCTTGTAGATTCTCATTGAGATAAGTTCGTACAATCAATTTAGTTAGGTTTTACACATTTTGTTGAAATTTGAGATCATTTGAGAGAGAATTGGTTGTGTTATTAGACTAAAAAATGATGTCAATTTTGGGGGGACACCCTTTTTGAGATGCCAAGTGTTTGTTTATTTTTTGTCTATAGTATCTGCAAATTCTTGGTGTAGGAACGTATCTCTCTTTCACTGGTGAGGCCAGGTGACAGTTTTTTTGTTTTGTTTTTTGTTTTTTTACATGCACATGACAGACTCTTCAAAGATGTTTACAAAACCGGAAGGTGAAAAGATCGACTCTGCGAAAGATCACGATAAAACAGTAATAACTGAACTGAAAAAATACATTTTAAAAGCTGTCATTTTTTATAAGTTTGTTGATTATTAAGCTTATATTAAGAAAACTAAATAGGAATGATCGCATAAAATAAAAAGGACTTGAATACCAACATTCGAAACATTTTTCAAAATCCAAAAATGCAAAAGCAGAACGACCAACTGCTCGATTTCTTAAGTCAAAATATAAACTGAAAAGTGAATAGATTTAATCCAGTATCAAGTCAATTCCTTCATTTTCGCTTGGTAGAGTGTGTAAGAGCGAATACAGACCTCTACTGCCAGTAAGAAATTGAAACTGTTCTAGCCACGAGATATTTGCTAAGATCAACTCAGTCAGCTATAGAACAATATTAATGTGATATCCAATGAGAATCGTACTTTCTTCACTAGCAAATGGGTTTGTGCGGCCAGCTTGGTTATTAGCTCAGGAATACATGTGTGATATCCAGATAATCGAACTCTCTTCATTAGCAAATGGGTCTGTGAGACTGCTTTGGTTATTAGCTTAGCTCAGTATAGCATGTGCGATATCCAGTGATAATCGAACTCTCTTCATTTGCAAATGTGTCTGTGAGACGAACATGGTTATTAGCTGAGCTACGTGTGATATCCAGTGATAATCTAACTTTGTTCGTTAGCAAATTGGTATGTGAGACTAGCTTGCTTATTAGCTTAGCTCAGCCTAATACATGTGATATCCAAGAAAAATCGAACTCTAATTACTAGCAAATGGATTTGTGAGACTAGCCTCTTATTAACTTAGTTCGGGCTGATACATGTGATATCCAGTAATAATCGAACTCTCTTCATTTGCAAATGGGTCTGTGAGACTAGCATGCTTATTAGCTTAGCTCAGGCTGATACGGGTGATATTCAGTGATAATCTTTCTTTGCTAGCTCCGTCTGCTATGTCGTATATCCAGTGATAATCGAACACTCCAGGATCAAATTATTTTCCAAATTTGACCGCTAACTTTTTAACAGACAAGAAAACGAAAACGGAAACTGAATCATTTTTTTCTTTTTAAACTTCCGTACTTTAAAATTAGAAACTTTAACATTTGATGGAGACCAACGAGAAATCCTCTGAGAAATCTTTCCAAAATCTCAACTTTCTTGTAGACATTTAATAGTATGAAAAATTTGATCCCATCTTGATAACTACGTTTGTAGCCATACTAATCCAAGTATATCATGTATCTCATTGACTGCCTTTTTATCTTAATTCTGTAACAATCAAACCTATGTAAATATTAGTGTATCAAAAGTATTTTTTTATGTTTATAGACTTGCACATTGGTCTAAATGTGGCATTTTTCTAGCTCTTCTGAAAGTTTTTAATAAGGTGATGAAGTTTTCATGTGTCTTAAAACATAATAAGCAACAACTAGTAGCCTTCCAATTCCTGCTTAGTCTCGTTATATTCAACGGCATATCTTTATTTTGTTATTTAATGTCGAATATAAATCTTATAGAAAACACACACTGAATTAATAGGTCAGTAGATACAGGTCCGGTTGGCACTTGAATCAAAATGTAGGCTTTGCTCTGGTTTATGCCCAAATCCGCAAGTACCCATCCAGAATATGGCACCTCTATGTGGGGAGTGATTACCACTCAGCAGGAGATGCAGTTTGGCGTATTCTAAGACAAATCATTATTCTTAAAAGTCTTAAATGTATTTTGGAGTTGTACAGTCAGATCGTCTATTTCTTGAATCTTGCAAACAATTTCAGTGGTTTTGCAGCTCGGGTTAAAATTAATGCCTTCGACTTTCTTGAATGTCAATACTTATATCAAATTTTATTATAACATCTGGAATAAAAGCAGAACAATATAGTATTGATGACAATTCAGTTGGGTGGGGAACTAGTTAGTCACTGTCAATATCTCAAAAATCAAAATTGTAACGTTTTATCATCACCGTGTAGTGCCTGAATTTCCGTCAATTGCAAGGAAACGGGTGTTTTCTCAAGAGGGGGAGTGCTTAAATTCAGTTTGGACTTAGGCTCACTCAAAACCCCAAGCGGAACTCGTATATACGATGCATTGCTAAAGATAATGGGGAAAAATGGCCGGTCCCCTGTACCACTTCTGTAAGTACCTGACTCCTCCTGCTGTCTTTTACAAAAGCCAGAGCAATCCGAAAATGGGGTACTGTTGCTATATATGAGTTGGACATGCTCAGTTTTCACTTTCCAATCTTGGTAGAACCCAAAAGCATCTACACGGCCTTGTGGATGACGAATGATTTTCTACATTACAACCTGTTTCTCACAGTTGCAAGCCTCTGGCTACTTTATCGCTATTTCCGTGGAAAATGTACAAACGAGCTAAATTCCTTAGTTCACCCAACTCTAACCCTCCGGGCTAAGACCCATCACGCCGTGTGAACTGAGGCGAGCCGCCTTCAATCCTTTTCGTATTTCATTAGTAAGCAGTAAGTTCTACTTCCGATAGCTTCTTCCCAAGAACATTTTCTTTGTAGAACAGAACCACAGGAGGATACTTCACAACCACTACACTGTTACACTCATCAAGTCTATGGTTAACCGTTATCTGTCCCACATATCGGCATAAACTATGCCCCTTACTCTTATCGCTCACACAACAATCGCCTTCAGTAACCCTCTACATTAAGTGGCCCTTGGGCCATGTATAGGATGAACATTAGTAAAAAAAAAAATATGAAATATATAATATTATTGATTGATTCGTTTTGTAGGTTACTTAAAGCCCGAAAATCTATTTACATTGTAAGAATTTTTTTCTTAGATAATAATAGTTTAGTGATACAAGTCTTATTAATTAACCCATATCTGGGGAAGGAAAAGAGGTGAATTCATACCTTTCCTAAAGGTATTTGTACATAAATGAATATAACGAAGCCAACTGGAATTGAAACACGGCCCTATGGTTAATAATTTCGGGCCATTATCCAATACACCGCCCGCACATCCATGCTTACATATTCCACCTATGTACTGACTAGGCTCGACGTTTCTTAACTTTGATCAACGTACGAGAACCGGGGTTTCAACGTGATGTGGCCGTAAACAGTGGAGCCGAAGATAACCTTTAGATGCGTTCATGATCATTTCATGTACTTTGCTTTAAAGTTCAGTAAAAAGCGAGAATATTTTCGTACACCTGAATTCCCACCGTTATATGTAATCATCCTATTTTTGTTTAATTCTATTAAACTAAATAGATACCACGAATTACAAAGACAGTATAAGACTAATGGGGGTTGATATATTTTAAAGTAATTTTTTATCAATAATCACGTTTATGATTTCTGGGGTGAGGGGTTGTTGTTTTTTGGGTTTTTTTGTTTTTTGGGTTTTTTTGTTTTTTGTTATTGGGGGGGTTGTTTTTTGTTATTTTTTGTTGTCGTTTTTTTGTTTTTTGTTGGTTGTTTTTTTGTTTTTGTTTTTGTTTTGTTTTTTGTTTTTTGCTATTTTTAGTGCGGGCATTTTTTTTCTTTCCTTTTTTCAATAAATAATTTTTCTGGAGTCAAAAGACAAACATTGAAATTTGCTAAAGGGTAATTTTTACGCCAAGAAAGTACAAAATATTAGCGAGGAGGGGAAAAGCATCTGGGATATTGTCAAAAATAATTCATTGCAAACATTTTTTTTTCTTTGTTCTGATCTAAAACTGTTTGTCTCAGACGTTCATCTTGAGGGAAGAAAGAAATGCTATTTATTGGCTGCTATAGACGCTCGTTTCAAACAATTGTACTATTATTTCAAGAACGCCACTGTTGCTTCCGGGTCCACATCGCTATTTCCAAGAGATATAAAGTTACAAACAGATGTAGAACTTAATGATAAAACGCTTGTTTCAACATTGAGGGATATGAGTTTTAGTTTTGTCTTTTCCATGGGTGCGTGATCGTTTCCATGCCAAAAAACGGGTGCCGTCTGTTGTGATTGTTAACGAGATTATCTTACAGGCTACTGATAATGGATTTGTTACTTATTTGTGTAAATTACATGACAAATTCTAGGGAAAAGTTTGTTTTTGTATTATTCTCAAAGAGGATTGCGTGTGAGGAAATCTAATTCTCGCTGGATTCTCTACTCTTGTGGTTCTCTAAGTTCAGCAGAGTAAATATCTAAGACAACTATTGTAGAACGGTAATAAGGAATTTCGTCACGTAGATCATTGGAAGGGATTTCTCACTGGTTGCTCTATTAATGTGGGTTTGTACCAAACTAAGCTTAAC